TGTAACTTTTTTATCTCTACATTTTCTCCAACATAGCCACCTCATTCCATTTCAGTGTTTGCTTAATTTTCAACACATTAAATAGGTTTTTCCTGATGATCCGTCTAACATAGCAACCTCAGTACTATCTACCCACTCTGTGACTTTTTCTCCAAAACTCTCTTCACACTCTGATACATACTGACTCCTTTTTATTATTATTGCCTTTCTTCCCACACAAGAACACCGTGAGAAAAGTTACTATCCATTCAGGTTACTTCTATGTCTTCAATCCCTAGAACAGTGCCTGGAAGAAATAGTTAATAAACCATTGTTGAAGAAATGAATATATACATATAAGTCTTAACCTTGTATATTATTTTTCTATTTTTCACTTTTGGCATTTCTAGTACAAAATCTAAATGCACACCTTTCAAAAGAGGACAGTAGATATAGCAAGATTGCAATTGTGGAACTAAGTACTAGATCTTTCCTGCTTCCTTAAAGAATACATGTATGATCTATTTTATTTTGAAGAGTGTTTAAAAAGAAAACAAACCTCTTAGGCCAGGAGCAGTGACTCGCACCTACAATCCCGGCACTTTGAGAAGCTGAGGTGGGCAGATCACTTGAGGTCAGAAGTTTGGGACCAGCCTGGCCAACACGGCAAAACCCAGTATCTAATAAAAATACAAAAATTAGGCTAGCATGGTGGTTCATGACTGTAATCTCAGCTACTCGAGAGGCTGAGGCATGAGAAGTACTTGAATCTAAAAGGTGGAGGTTGCAGTGAGCTGAGATTTTGCCATTGCACTCCAGCCAGGGTGACGGAGTGAGACTCTATCTCAAAAACAAAAACAAAACAAAACCTCTTGAGTTCAACAGAATGGTGTCAGATTTATTCCTAATAACACAAGACATTCAGTAGATAAACAAGGACCTTTATAGTATTTAAAAAAACAAAAGCTATTGGTTGAATTGGAAGATATCTCTAGAGTTAATTACTCCACACCTTGACATCTTGTCAATTATTATTTGCAGCTACCTTCATCTTTTGAATTTCGGAGCCTAAGCCCTTCAAGCCATCCTGCTTTAGTATAATTCTTAGACATGTCTCATTTTGCAAAGTTTTAAAATTTTGATTCAACTAGCAGTACCCCTCCAATGTCTTCTATGCAACCTCACATATTTGTGTATGTGTGTGATTTTCTAAACGTTCCTTGAAACTCTTTTTACCTAATATCTTCTATTATTTCCCATTTGTTAATATTTAATTGAAATTTGTATTTTCATTATTTGTTATTCTTTTCATCCCTTAGAATTCCAAATTCCAATATTTAATGATTTTATTTATAAATCCTTTTGAAATTTTACATTTTATTCATGAATAGTCTCATTCATTTGCTCTTGAGATAAAGATCATTTTTAAAAATACTAAAGATGCTTTCTCTTATATTTGTTTTTCAACTGAACCTCAGAGATTCATTACATAATTATTTCTCTCTGCTTCAATATACCTGGAAAACCTTACTATTTGAAAATATAAATGCACAAACAGTATATATATATATAAACAAATAGATGGATATTTGAGAGCAGAACTTGATCTGTATACTAATGCTGTCTAAAAGAGAAAACTAATAGCAGCAAATTTATCATAGTCCTGTTTAAAATTCTTGAGTGGTACCCACTCAATGACAGCAATATAACAAAAAGTTTATATTTTGAAATATTAGTTGATAAGCTGCATTATGTAAAATTTACCAAAAACAGCATTCTGTGAAAATATTAACCAAGATTTAACATTCATTACAAACATTATGCTCAAAATTGAAATGCATGAAAGGCCATAATGGCTGAAATAACATTAAGAAAACTCCCTCCAATCAAGGAAATAAAGAGCAATAGAAGTGTGAACATGGCCAAGATCAATACTTTTTTTAAAAAAAATATCCATTCTTTGAATATATGCATCCTCCCAAGTCATCCTGTGTGCTTGTGAGGGAGACAGAAGACAGCCAAATGCCAACCAGGTCATTGTGCACAGGAGGTTTGCTTAAACAAGCCCAAGGTAAAAATTTTCATTTCCTAATACATGTGCAGTAAGGGAAATAAATCAATGTGGAAAGGCATAGACTAAGGACCCATCTGCACACTGGGAGAATGGGGTAGGAATTCACCAGGAATTCACACTTTATGCACAGGGATTAGCCTACCTCTTTAGCTCCTGTGTGGTAGTCTGATATTCAATCTGTGAGGTGGGAGCCGGTTGGCAAGACCTCCTTTCTTTGCTGAGAACTTTCCTTTAATAAATTCAACTCTCCTCACCTTTCAATGTGTCCATGTGCCTAATTTTTCCTTGTCATGAGACAAGAACACAGATTTTAACTGAGCTATGAAGCAAAAAACCGTGCATTATTTTGGTGACCCATACAGGGCATGAGGAAAGGTGAGTAAAATGCAGACCAAAAAAATCTTTATCCCTCTTGTTGCTAAGCCTTATATCCCTCAAACTTCTGAGGGTAGAAGAAACTGTGCCCCACCCCACCAACCCCCCACTGTCACTCTTGGGGCTCAGGAATGTCAGCCTCTATCCAAGTCAGTCTTTTCTATGGCATTTGCTATCTTTTTCTGGGGGGACTGTAATGGTATCTATCTTTTCCTTTACAATATTGAGGTGTTCTGCCCCTACCCTAATGCTGCAGGCATGTGTACTGTATAGACAAGTGAGTAGTGACCTCCCTACCCTCCTGCCCTCCTAGCTGGGGTTGTGCATATGGCCCAAGTTCCTGCATGACTGGCTGGCCAGCATTCCCTGGCACACACCCATGGTGTCTTCCCCTCCCCCAGCCAAGGAGTCCATTTCAGTCCAATAACAACTAAAAGTTTTTCTCCTTGCTGGAGAAGCCTATTCACATGAGAATAAGAGGTTCTTCTCCAAAATATCTTTCTAGCCCTGCATTCAAGCTGCTTTGCTTTTCTTTTCTCTGCCAGGTCAAGTGCTAACTTTTATGTGAGAGGCTTTTTCTATCGATTTAGAGAATGTTTTACTAGGCCAAGACCCCAACTATCACTTTCTACATTCTCTGTAAAGTTTTACTTATGAAAAAAGATTTGTAAGGTTTGTCTTAAGCTACAGCCAATCTGGTGATGCACTGGATGTCTTTCTGTATGGTTTGGTTTCAGAAAGAGGGGTCTTAGGATGGGATGTGGGCCTAGGACTCCATAGGCCCACTGTTCAAACCAGCCTGACTAACTGGTCAGTATCAAACTTTGTTGCAGGCTTCCATCTTGTTTCACGTCCTTGGGAGAACCACATGCCTGTGCTTTGTTTTACCCTCCACAATTTTACAGTGATGGCCAGGGTTCAATCCTGGTTTAGGGAATGAGTCCTTTCAAGTTTGATATCTGCATGACCTTTGCCATTTGTTGATTCTCTTCCACTCCATGAACTGCCTTGAATTTTCCTGTCTCTGAGCACCTGGGTAGTTACTTCAGTAAAGTTAGACAGTCAAAAATATTAGCTGTTTGGTGCAGCTAAAGTCAGGTAATAAGGGATTTAAAAGAATATTCTTAAAGAGTGTTCAGCTTAATTAAAAGAAGATTTCCAAGTTTTAGATATATTTAAAAAGGTCTTTATGTTTTCCCTTCTTGGAACCTGTTTTGCTGAAAGGTTTTTTTCCTCAGTCAACTGAATTACTTTTCTCCATTTTGTCTTGCCATTCTACATGTATGTATCAGGAGCCCTAACATAATTTCTGATGGCTTGGGACTCCTTGGGGAGGGGGGAGAAAAAAAAACAAAACAGAAAAAGCACCATAGATTCCATTTTGAGAGAGGCCTCTGTTTTCCTCAGGGAGCCCCAGGAATTGGAGGCAGATGGATCCCTCTCAAAATCTGTTTTTGTGTTCTAGCTATACCTGTTTATTAGGCCCTAGAAAGTGCATGCTTTCCTAGCCTTGCTCTTAAAGGTCTCCACCCAGAGGCCAATAGTCTAATTAGGACATTGGCAAATAAAAAATCTTATAACTATTGCATCTTGTTCTGTCTGTCTGTATAGTTATATATGTGTTGGGTGTGATGACTATAAAAAAGAGCTCTAATTAATTGGCTGGAAAGAAAATAAGTGCTTAGATCAAATATTTTTTAAAGGAGATATAAAAGCTATGATATCTCTTGGCTTATGTGACTTTAATCATTGAGAAATAAAAAAGCCTTAAGGGTTATAGGTAAAATGCAGATATAGTCAAAATGTAAATTTTTGCATAGGGTTCAAGGATTGTTTTGAATTAGATAAGATAAAGCCAAAAGCTTAAAGAAGTTGTAGAAGTTTTCTAAAAAATCAATGTTGCAAAAGAAATTCTGTGTGTGAACACTGACTAAATTCAAAAGTGTTATAAAAGGTTTTTGCTTTTTAAAAAATTTCTGAGTTATTTTGGCAAAATAAATAACATGGTAATCTTAGATTCTATTTCATAACATCAAGTGTTTTAAACCTCTAACATTTAACAGGCTTCCCAAAAGTATATTTCAGCTTTGAAGTTGTCTTTCCTGACCCCTAGCTTTTGAATGCTTACAGAGGGCCTCTCAAGCATCCAGAAGAGAGGTAAACAGGACTGTCTGACATGTTTAGGTACATGGGATTGCCAAAATGATGTTTAATCTTCATTAGGTTATATTTTAGGGAATAATATTAATATATGTTCCAAAAATTGTATGGGATTTGTAAAATTTGAATGTCTGAGTACATGCTATCAAACACAATTAGGGTTGTTGTTATAAACCACACAGATAACCAAATTTCTTTGTCAATCATGTCTCTGAATGTAACTATCCCAGACATTTGTTATTCATAATTGTTGTCTTGTTTTTATCCTCCTCAAAAGGTGGTTTATAATTGGCTATAGAACTTTGGCAAATGCTCTCAAATGCAGGTTTCGAATAACTCTGCAGATTGTGACATAGGAATAAAAAATGTACAGGACTCATGAAAAGCTGATATGTTCACAAATATTAAGCAGGAAAGTGTTAACTGAATGGACTGAACTAATAGAAAACTGAAGTAATTTTTGACTTTTGCTTGGAATACTGCTGATTCTTGTTTTGATTTCCAGAGTCAAGGAAACTTGTTTTGAGCTATTTCCAGCCTTTAATAATTGAGCAAGGTATACTCCTGTGAGCAAAATTTGGAACATGTTTGTCTCTCTCTCTCTCTCTCTCTCTCTCTCTCTCTCTCCCTGTCTTCTGCAGAATTTGGAAACTAGTTGAGTATTGTTTAGTTATGGCAGTATAGTTGTTTGCATCAGTGCAGTAGCAACCCATTTTCTTTTGCAACAGGATGCAATTGGAGAGACTGGTTGTTTTACCAAGGCTTTGTGTATGCTTCCCTTTAAGAAGCAAAGCTGAACTTGCAGAGCTAATAAAAGTCCCTTGGGAAAACTGGCCTCATTCCCTGTCTACTCAGTCCTAACCTGTGGTAAGTAAAGAATGTCACTTTCTAACAGGCCTAAGAATACTATGCTCTTGGGACCTCAAGAATAGGAGTTCACCCACACACAGGAGTTTGAGGATAAAAACTCATAGGTGGGCTTTGCTTTAGAAAGTTTTCTCTGAGAGTCCTTGTGGATCAGAGTTCCATCAAAGCCAATCTAAAAGGCCTATGTAAAAATAATTATTCTTGCTGCACTTCACGCAGTCAGGCTCAGTATAAGACTAAAATCTATTTTGCAAGCAACTGAGTCCTATCATGATTTATTTTTAGCAAAAATGAGGACTAGAGAAATTATGCTTCAAAACATCATTATTAAATTCTAGACTTGGGGGTCGATCCAAGATGGCCATTTAGGAACAGCTCAGGATTGCAGCTCCCAATGAAAGCACAGAGGGTGAGTGGACGCCGCATTTTTATTGCCCACAGACTAGGAAATTCCCAGGCGGAGGAGCTCCACCAGCGCGGCTGTTTTGGCCAGCCCAGCTGTGCTGGCCGGCACCACTGCTTTGCCCCATGCAGCTGCTTTGTCAGCACCCCGGAACAGCGGTTCTCTGTACAAAATACACCGGTCCGGGTGCCCTTTTGGCTGGCGATTGGAGCCATGGGAAGTCGCCCATTCATCTGTTTAAAAAGGGGACTGAGCAGGGAACCAGGACAGTAGATTCCAGGGGAAAAAAAAAAAAAAAAACACAAACCTCAGTGCCGCTGTTTAAGCCAGTGCAATGAGTGGCCGCAGGGGAAAACAAACAGACCCTGGCGCCTGTTCAACAGGCGACTGGAACACAAACTTAAAAAAGGCTCTGAGGCAGGGAGCCAGGAGATCAGGCTCGGCTGGTCCCACCCCCACAAAAGAAGAGCAACCAGAAACTCTGGATTGAGAGTTTCACAGCAAGAGCAACTGAACCCGGGACGGTCCAGCTCTGTGGCGGAGAGGCGTCCGCCATTACCGAGGCAGCCCGCCACTATGGAGGTAGTCGGCCAATGCTGAGGCAGCCCACCATTGCCAAGGCAACCTGCCATTGCTGAGGCAGCCCACCATTGCCAAGGCAACCCGCCACAGCAGAGACACTCCGCCTCAACAGAGGCGGGCCACCATTGCCAAAGCAGTTCTAACTACACCCATATAAACAGGACTGCAGGGAAGTTCACTCGGCAGCTGGGCGGAGCCCACAGCAGCTCAGCAAAGCCTCTACAGGCCAACAGTGACTAGGCTGCCTCCTTGCTGGGCAGGGCAGGTCTGAAAGAAAAAAAAAAAAGAAGGCAACAGCATAATGGAAACTCATAAATAAAGCTCTAAATCCCTGGGACAGAGAACCTGGGAACAAAAAGCAGTTTATGAGTTCTGCTGCAGCAGACGTAAACGTACCTGCCCAGCAGCTCTGAATGAACAACAGAGCACACAGCTCACCATTTGAGCTCCTATAAAGAAGAGACCGTCTCCTCAAGCAGCTCCCTGACCCCTATATATCCAAAGAGACACCTCATAAAGGAGAGATCAGATTGACACTAGGCGGGTATCCTTCTGGGACAAAGATAGCAGAAGAAAAAAACTGGTAACAACCCTTGCTGTTCAACAGTTGCTGCAGGTGAACCCGAGGCAAGCAGGGCCTGGAGTGAACGTCAGCAGACCTACAGCAGAGGGGCCAGACTGTCAGAAGGAAAACCAAGAAACAGAAATAACCTCATCATCAACAAACAGAACGTCAATCTGAAAGATTTGAGACCCAATCTGAAAGCCAGCAACTACAAAGTCGACAGGTGGATAAATCCTTAAAGATGGGAAGAAACAAGCATTAAAAGGATGAAAACACCCGAAACCAGAACACCTCTCCTCCTACAAGGGATCACAACTCCTCACCAGCAAGAGAACAAGGTTGGAGGGAGAACGAGTGTGATGAAATGACAGAATCAGACTTCAGAAGGTGGGTAGTAAGAAACTTCTGTGAACTTAAAGAACATGTTCTAACCAAATGCAAAGAAACTAAGAACCTTGAAAAAAGATTTGACGAAATGCTAACGAGAATGGACAAAATAGAAAGGAATATAAGTGAATTGATGGAGCTGAAAAACGCAACACGAAAACTTCACGAAGCATGCACAAGTATCAACAGTTGAATTGACCAAGCAGAAGAAAGGATATCAGAGGTCAAAGATCCACTCAATGAAATAAAACGGGAAGGCAATACTGGAGAAAAAAGGGTAAAAAGGAATGAACAAAGTCTCCAGAAATGTGGGACTATGTGAAAAGACCTAATCTACATTTGATAGGCATACCTGAATGCGACGAAGAGAATGAATCCAAGCTGGAAAATACTCTTCAGGATATTATCCAGGAAAACTTCCCCAACCTAGCAAGGCAGGCAAACATTCAAGTCCAGGAAATACAGAGAACACCACAATGATATTCGTCAAGAAGAGCAACCCCAAGGCACATAATCGTCAGATTCACCAGGGTTGAAATGAAGGAGAAAATACTAAGGGCAGCCAGAGAGAAAGGTCGGGTTACCCACAAAGGGAAGCCCATCAGACTCACAGCAGATCTCTCAGCAGAAACCCTACAAGACAGAAGAGAGTGGGGGCCAATATTCAACATCCTTAAAGAAAAGAACTTTCAACCCAGAATCTCCTATCCAGCCAAACTAAGCTTCATAAGTGAAGGAAAAATAAAATCCTTTGGGAACATGCAAGTACTCAGAGATTCGTCACCACCAGGCCAGCTCTACAAGAGCTCCTGAAAGAGGCTCTACGCATATAAAGGAACAATAAGTACCAGCTCAACTAAAGGGCAAAACACCCAGCTAGCACCAAAATGGCAGTATCAAATTCGCACGTAACAATATTAACCCTAAATGTACATGGACTAAATGCCCCAATCAAAAGACACAGACTGGCAAATTGGATAAAAAGTCAAAACCCATCAGTGTGCTGTATCCAGGAAGCTCATCTCACATGCAAGGATACACAAAGGCTCAAAATAAAGGGATGGAGGAAGATTCACCAAGCAAATGGAGAGCAAAAAAAAGCAGGAGTTGCAATTCTCATCTCTGATAAATTAGACTTTAAAGCAACAAAGATCATAAGAGACAAAGAGGGACATTACATAATGGTAAAAGGATCAATGCAACAAGAAGAGCCTATGATCCTAAATATATATGCACCCAATACAGGAGCACCCAGATACATAAGGCAAGTTCTTAATGACTTACACCTACTCTAAAATTGACCACATAATTGGAAGTAAATCACTCCTCAGCAAATGCAAAAGAACGGAAATCGTAACAAACAGTCTCTTAGACCACAGTGCAATCTAGAACTCAGAACTCAAAAACTAACCCAGAATTGCACAGCTTCATGGAAACTGAAAAGCTCGCTCTTGAATGTTGACTGGATAAACAATGAAATGAAGACAGAAATAAAGATGCTCTTCAAAACCAACGAGAATGAAGACACAACATAGCAGAATCTATGGGACACGTTTAAAGCAGTCGCTAGAGGAAAATATATAGCAATAAGTGCCCACATGAGAAGCAAGGAGAGATCAAAAATTGACACCCTATCATCAAAACTGAAAGAGCTAGAGGAGCGAGATCAAAAAACCTCAAAGTCTGGCAGAAGACAAGAAATAGCTAAGATCAGAGCAGAACTAAAGGAGATAGAGACACAAAAAAAACCTTCAAAAAATCAATAAATCCAGGAGCTGGTTTTTTGAAAAGATCAACAAAATAGAACACTAGCCAGATTAATAAAAAAGAAAAGAGAGAATAACCAAATTGATGCAATAAAAAACGATAAAGGGGATATCACCACAGATTCCACAGAAATTCAAACCATCAACAGAGATTATTACAAACAACTCTATGCACATAAACTAATAAACCTGGAAGAAATGGATAAATTCCTGGACACTTGCCTCCTTCCAAGCCTAAACCAGGAAGAAGCCGAAACCCTGAACAGACCCATAACAAGGTCTGAAGTTGAGGCAGCAATTAAGAGCTTACCATCCAAATAAAGCCCAGGTCCAGACGGGTTCACAGCCGAATTCTACCAGACATACAAAGAGGAGCTGGTACTATTCCTTCTGAAACTATTCCAAACAATACAAAAAGAGGGAATAATTCCCAAATCATTTTATGAGACCAACATCATCCTGATTCCAAAACCCGGCAGAGACTCAACAAGAAAAGAAAACTTCAGGCCAATAGCCATGATGAACATAGATGCAAAAATCTTCAACAAAATATTGACAAGCCGATTGCAACAGCACATCAAAAAGCTTATCCACCATGATCACGTAGGCTTCATCCCGGGGATGCAAGGCTGGTTCAACATACGCAAGTCTATAAATGTAATTCACCACATAAACAGAACCAAAGACAAAAACCACATGATTATCTCGATGCAGAGAAGGCCTTTGACAAAATTCAACAGCCCTTTATGCTAAAAACACTCAATAAGCTAGGTATCGATGGAATGTATCTCAAAATAATAAAATCTATTTATGACAAACCAACAGCCAATATCATACTGAATGGGCAAAAACTGGAAGCATTCCCCTTGAAATGTGGCACAAGACAAGGATGCCCGCTCTCACCACTGCTATTCAATATAGTATTAGAAGTTCTAGCCAGA